TGTGTGTGTGTGTGTGTGTGTGTGTGTGTGTGTGTGTGTGTGTGTGTGTGTATGGGGGGATTGTTTCCTATTTGAAGAAGCGGCTGCAAATGTAGGGCAGCAAGGCTGGTGAGTCACCCTGTCTCGCAGCTCCTCTGAGGCAGTCAGGGATGTACTCACAGAGAGGAGTGTATGACCACTACTGGCAGGCAGGGGGAGGAAGAGCCTGTAACTACTGTGACTGACAGAGACGCTAACTTCCCGCTCTGGGTGCAAACGTGTAAGGAAGACACCTAACTCACCATTTGTTCTGATTTTTCTGCTTTGTCTTTGATATCCTTGATTTTGCCAAAGAGCTGCTGAATGGCTTTCTGGGCCTCTTCGAGAGCCTAGAATAAGAGAAGTGGGTTAAAAATGAGAAGCAAGGAGAATGAGCGCCAGTCACTCTGCTCTAATCAATTCCAGTCTGCCGGAAGTTCTGACCAGAAACTCTCTCGATTCATTGTTCTCGACCGACAGTTCCACTGCACCCGAACAGGAGAGGGAGATAAAGCCTCGTACATGAGCACAAGCAAAGTCTAAGAACTTAGTAATCCACAGCATAAAATTTAAATTCAGTTTTTGGTTTTCTGAGACAGAGCCTTACTATGTAGTCATGGTTGGACTAGAACTCTCTGTAGACCAGGCTGGCCTCAAACTTGCAGCAATCCTGTCTCTGCCTTTCTCGGTGCTAGGATTATAAATAAGCACATGCTACCATGCTTGCCATAAAGTTTCCATTGAAAACTAAACCAGTCCCTCTATTTGGTGATTCCTATACATGTTACTAATGACAAAGGACACACAGCTGTCTCTCAGTATGTGCATGAGCCTTCACACCTGTGAAAACAGTGGCAGCTCCAAGTCAGAAGTAGCTAACTCTGGACACCGGCTGGGTATCAGTTTCCTCATCTACAAAATAACTCTAAAAGACTGTGTCAACAATCACCGCCACCACCAAAATCAGGACTAGCATGGGGACTGCAAAGTTGTGGCCAATCTTAGACATTTATGATGTCCTACTTAGAAACCGATAAAATGAAGTCAGAGGGGCACATCTGAAGCTATGGTGAGCCAAATGTTTCTCAGGAAATAAACCGCCACAAAGATGGACGGGACACAAGGAAAACGTCATTGTTCACACATCGCCGCGATGAGGGGAGATGGAAGGGCACTGGAGCTACACACGTGGGGGGCTCACGGACTCTGGGGTTTGTGATAACCCACAGCTGTTCAGTCACGCCAGTCAGAGTTTCATTCACTCTTTCAGTCACTCAAGCACATTCTGATTAGGTGCTGTACGAGGGGAGAGGGAAGGCGAGACGAGGGAGGGGAGAACCGAGCCCTCGGGAAGTCCAGCTGGCTGCAAGAAAAGGCAGTGGCAAACTTTCGAGACAGAAACCATCATCGGCAGAGAAACAGGACTATGATGTCACCCAACCCAAACCAGTGCGTGAAGGTGAAAAAGAGCACTCACTCCTTACACTGGATTAAGACAGAGGGCTGCCACCGACTACAGGGAAGATGCTGAAAACCGTGACGAAGTCGGATTACAGGGGCCGAGAGCGGGCAGCAGACAGTGCCAACATGGTGAGGAGCTGATACAAAGCTGGGCTGGCCAACGATGGCCCGGCTTTGTCTGCCACTTGTGTAGGTAAATAATGTGGTTTGGGAGCCCAGCCTGACTTGCTCATGTTCATCACACAATGCCAGCGAGGATAGCTACAACATCACATGGGCACAAAAAGCTGACTGAGCTAGACACGGCGGCACGTGCCTATAATCTCAGTCCTGGGAGACTGAGGCAGGAGGGCTGCCATGAGGTAGGAATGAGCCTGAGCTATTTAGGGAGACCTTTAACAAAAAATGGAAGGGAGGGAGGAAGGAAGGGAGGGAGGGAGGGAGGGAGGGAAGGAAGGAAGGAGAGAAGGAAGGAAGGAAGGAAGTTCATTGGACTCCAGCAGACTACCTTCGATAAGGTTTTTGTGTGACTGATGAAGTGTGGAAAAGCAGCAGCAAATGAATGGAGGAATTCTCAGTGAGAGATGCTTGCACACTCTACTATGTAAATAGTTCAGAAGGGGGAACTGGTTGTGCAGTCCTGGGATAATTGTAGAAGAGCATTGTTTCTATAATTTTGGTTTGTTTTTGCAGTGCTAAGAATCAAACTTAGGACCTTTATAAAGTTCTGGATTTACTATGGAACTAGCTGTCTAACAGCTGTACATACCCCAGGACATGAATACTCCAGGCAACTGTCCACTAGGGTTAGCTAGGATAGTCCCGCTATGTGACTGCATCATGTAACAATGATAAAGTTATTCTCGTTATTATTGTAGGCTGGCTTGCATTGTTTTGTTGGGGCATGATCATGGAGCCCAGGCTTCCCTAGAACTCACTATGTATCCCAGGAGGACCTTGAACTTCTAATCCTGCTGCCTCTAGTGCCAGGACTCCAGACATGTGGTAATAGGCAGTTCTAGGGATCAAACCCAGGGCTCCCTCATGCATGTCAGGCCATGCTCCACTAACTAAGCCACATTCTCAGCACCTTCTTTGGATTTGTAAGACACAGACTCATTGTGCAGTTGAGGTTGGCCTTAAACTATGATTTTTGCCTCTACCCTCAAGTGTGAGGGTTATAGTGTGGTTCGGTATAATTATAGATAGCTCCTCTCATTCTCAAAAGTGGCCCTGGTGGGTCTGGTGAGGTATCTCAGCAGTTGAGTCCTGGATGTTCTTGCAGAGGACCCAGGTTCATTACCCAGCACTAGCCTGGCAACTCACAACTGTCTGTAACTCCAGTTCCAGTTTTGGTAGGCAAAACACTCATACACACACACACACACACACACACACACACACACACACACACACACACAAAATAATAATAATAAAATAAAAAAATAAATAAATAGATAGATAGATAGATAAATAAATAAATAAATAAATAAAACTGATCCTGGTGATAAATTATATGGTCACTTTACCAAGAGCATCTAGCTAAAGCTATAGCACAGCTAAAATCCAACAAATCTTTGCCAAATAATTAAAAACGTCAGCACTGAGTGGCAGCACTCAGACTATTCTGCATCAGGGTGCTGTGGTCTACCATCCCCTTAACTTCAGGTACAACCTCAAGCAGTGGTTCAAACTCACTCACAGCATCACACTTTAGATTGGTAGCATTTGCCTGGGTAACCAAGTTTAATGCCAAGGTGATGCTACAGGGGAGGGGTCAGTACACTCTAAACTCATTGGAGGCTTCTAAACATGCTTTTGAATCATGATGTCAGAATACCACAGAGACCTTACAGGCAACAGACTGCCAAAAAAGACTTTCTTCTTGGGCATGGCTCATGTGGCATTCTGGGATGTTTAAGGCATGCATGTTACAGTGACATGCTGATGGGATTATAGCCAAACACCTTAAAAGGACACGTTGTACACTAAGGAGCTCCTGTCCTGTCCTCTCCAGACTGCTCCCACCGAGGGACACAAGACTCACACAATCTTATATTTCACAGACTTCAAGAAAGATAAACGGTCTGCCAGATATTTTTTCAGCCTTCGCTTGTTATAATAATGTACTGAAGCTCATGAAAGTTAATATAATTCATTTTCCAGAGTCAAAATGTTTCCTCTGAGAAGTAAGTCTACTTACTCAGTCCCTTCTCAACTAGTCCTAGCATTTGCTATCTGCCCTCCAATAGTCAACTGCACCACAGAAGAACAGTTCACACCTGGGAAAAGTGCAAGGCCTACGGAAGAAGATTCTTCTGAAAACAAAAAACAAAACACTAACATGCACATCTGACACAGGTAATCAGAAAATGCTCTGGAAGATTCTAGCTCCACTCCTGGACACCATTTAATATGGTACTTTCCCATGTCAAACTGGATCCAGATTGAAAACAGAATCAATCACCCCAAATGTCTGCTTTCCATCACCCTGCCTTTCTGCTCTGCCTGCTGTCTCTGAGTGGAGCAGTATGGTGGCAGTCTGAGCCTCGGGTATCGCTGCATAGCAATTTCTACTGTGACCCTCTTTTGGCAACTCTACATCTGTACTCAGAGACACAAAGTGACCCACTGAGCTTGCTTCCGAGACTTAGCAAAAGCCATTACAGTATCCTCGTGCTTCTGTGACCCACACACGATAGCCATGACTTTCAAGTGTCCTGCCTCCTGAGGTACATTCTGAGCAGGATCCTGGCCAGACTAGGTCACTGGCCCAGAAGAGAAGCAGCACGGACCTGGCACAGAGGTCTCTCCTTTCTTTCTTCCCTTCCTGTTTCTTTTTGGCAGACCAGAAGGGCAATGCTCTTGGTCACTAAGCACCTCCTTTGGCTCGAAGATGGATCTAACTGGGCAGTTGCTTTACCAGAGAATTATATCACTCTCTGGTGAGCCCAAAGGTAGCCTTCAGAAACTGAAATCCCATTTCCTACCATTTGCTGCTGCTGTTCATTTTAAAAAGATCTTGTAAACACTAGGTGGTGGTGACGCACACCTTTAATCCCAGCACTCAGGAGGCAGAGGCAGGCGGATCTCTGTGAGTTCGAAGCCAGCCTGGTCTACAAAGTGAGTTCCAGGACAGGCTCCAAAGCTACACAGAGAAACCCTGTCTCAAAACACCAAAAACCGAAAAAAACAAAAACAAAAACAAAAAAACCTTAAAGTAGTAACATTTAAGGTTACTAGAAAGAAAACCAGATTTCCCAACGTTTTTCCACCATTGCTATTTTACACTGACATCTGCTGGTTCCCCGTTCTTTTCTATTACATGGGGATGAAACATGCTGTACTGGATAAAGCAAGTGATCTGGAGCCAGAGACTGAGGTTGGAGGCTTGGCTTTAACCATGTGATCTCTGTCAAGTCACTTGACCTCCAGGAGTCCCGGCTTTACCATTTCTAGAACAGAAATAACAGCACCCCTTCCAGAGATTTTTTTGTTAGGAAGACTCCCTAACGGGGTTGGGTGATGAAATCTTTGGAACTGTTGACCCAATACACCCCAAACCTGCAGGTCCCCTCTCCCAGTGTTCTTACCGAGTCCTGTGTTAAAGGAGCAGAGCAGACAGTCACACGCCGCAATTATGATTTTTCCAGAACTGGAATTGGGAAGGAGAGCTGGAAGATGAGGCTAAGCTAGACAGCAGCAAGGTTCTCCAATAAAGGAAGGAGGCTAGCCTCCTGGGAGAGACAGACGCGGGCATTACTCCAGCTCTAAGCTTGGCTGTTTGACAAGGCCTATGGAGACACTTCCCATGGGCAAACCGTTCAACTCCCTTCCCAGCAATTCTCCTCTCCCTCCACGGTTTGTTTGTTTGTTTAAGACAGTTTAA